TTCCAAGCTTTATAATGGCAGTGAATAGCTGTTTCTATTTTGAAGTCCATAAAAGTGCATCTTTTCATGATAAAAGTGCTCCACACGGCTCCAGGGGGGTTAATAAAGGCCTTCTGAAGCGAAGCGTTTGTGTAAGAAAAATATCCATGTTTAGAATTTTACAAAGTGTCATCTCCAACTTCTGCTAACTATCATAAGCGCATTCACGAGAGACTGGCGTTCCAGCGTATGACGTCGGACGCAGGCGTAGCGTAAATTCTGGTGGCGAGCACAGAGGTTAGAGCAAAACAAAACACCGGTCGCGCATATTCTTACCAGAGCGTCCTAAGTCATACACTGGAACGCCAGTCTCTTCTGAGCGCGCGTCCGACAGTTAGCGCAAGAGACTACAGTTTGTAAAGTTTTAAATATGGATATTTTCTTACACAAACGCATCGCTTCGCTTCAGAAGGCCTTTATTAACCCACCAGAGCCGTGTGAGCACTTTTATGATGGATAGATGCACATGTATGGACTTCAAAACAGAAACAGCCATGCACTGCCATTATGAAGAGCAAGGACATTTTTTAATATAACTCCTATTGTATTCGTCTGAATCTGAAAGAAGAATGTCATATACACCTAGGATGACTTAGCCTGGGAAAACCCAGACAACTTCAGGCAAATTTAGATTTGCTCTGAAAGTTAGTCTGGCAAAGAGCTCATTCAAGCTCATTTCCAATCCGTCGAAATCGAGGCACCAATCAGAAACGTTGGGGCGGGCTTTACACGATGACGACAGCGCTGGGATTTTGAAGCAGATTTTGTAGCCTACATTACAAAGACGGATGCCGCCGTCGAACATCACTCGTTCGAATCAGCTATCGCATCTGTTTTAAGCGATTTGAACGTTTCCTTTTTGTTAAAAACCGAGCAAAGAACAACACTCGGAGATGTTTCTCCCCCCCCCCCCGCTCTGCATACGCCATCTCCTTCATCACTCTGATTGGTTTTAGGTCTATCCGCGACGTCCGTTGGTGACGCCCCTCTGGAAATGATTTGTCTATGACGCTTTGCCAGACCATAACTCAGTTACAACTGAGAATGGTCTGGTTTTTAACCAGGCTAAGGATGACTTAAATCATGGGCTAATTTTAATTTTTAGGTATAGTTTCCCTTAACTATATTAAGTGAGCAATATTCATACTGTTTCTTTACTTAATAGTTGTTTCTGTTACTTTAAATAAGTGATTTAGTACTGTCCTTATTTAAATATATACATGAATTGAAAGTGCAACTAGGCTGTTAGTATCTTATCTATTGATGGCATATAATTTGTGACGTGAAGGAAATATACTAAAGTCATTATGGAAATTGAGCTTTTGAGAAATTAGGAATTGTTCTATTTACTCTTATTTAATGTATCTATTTGTACATGTATGTCTTATATGTGTTCTAGATTCACTGTAAACATTAGAAATGCTTTGGCAATACATTGTAACAATTGTCATGTCAATAAAGCACATTTTAAATTTCAATTTGAGAGAGAGAGAGAGAGAGAGAGAGAGAGAGAGAGAGAGAGGGGAGAGAGAGAGAGAGGGGGAGAGAGAGAGGAACTGCACTTACTCATACATGTAAACAGTAATAGCAGAAGGAGAGAGAGAATTATCAATTGTTTACTATACAAATTCATGTTAACTGGGTGGACATTTTATAATAGTCCTATCTTGACAAACATAACAGGTGATAAAAATGAGTAGACTTCAATCTTAAGTGTTCATATTCTGAAAGGATTATGCGAGTATGACTTTTTTTCTGTAATAGTACATCACTATAAAAGGGAAATGTGACAGTGACATACAACCAGAGGAAATTTTCTGTTTTTTAAACAGCAGATCATCTCAGTTAAAAACTAAATGTATCTATAGAGAGAGAATAAACACTCATTATTGCTTGTATGTTGCTGTACAGTATTTTCAAAATGTGGCACATAAAGAAGAGGACATTATTTAGAAGGAAGAAAATAAAACACAACAAAAGCTATAACGTGTATGTGTTTATGTATGTTTATGAATACTTTTTATCAGAGAGAGAGAGAGAGAGAGAGAGAGAGAGAGAGAGAGAGAGAGAGAGAGAGAGAGAGAGAGAGAGAGAGAGAGAGAGAGAGAGAGAGAGAGAGAGAGCGAGCGTCTAATGCGCTCGTCTTTCACCGTTATTGTGACGCAATGATCTGAACGACACTTCCTGGCAGCAGCGTGATCACCCCAAAACAATGAAAGTACATTTCCACAGCAATACAATCTCAAAACAAACACATTTCACGTCCACTAAGACAATGTGGATGATCCTGGGTCGTTAACCACCAAGAGAAAGTGATGCTTTAAACCAATCCCACCATCCATTACCCTCATCCACGACCCTTTTCTTTCTTTGAAATAAACGCGCGCAGAAACGCTCTAGGCATCCAAACTCTCAACTCTAAAGAGACAACAACAAATAACTTTATGCTTACTGTGGTTAAGAGTGGTTTCATCTGTTCATTGCTATCTTCCTCCATTTGTTCAAACTGTGCACTTCTTCCGTCCCTCGCCGGAGACTGATTTGAATATGATATTTCGAAATGCCCCTTCTCTCGTGTCACAGCCACTGAGAGCGTGTGAATGGTATTTTTACATATATTGGGGCTTGGCAAATCCCGCCCTTGTTGAGATTGACAGGTTATTTCATCCGTTCACGCTCACGCGACCGGCGTTTTCCCTAGCCAATAACAGCTTCGGAACGACGCTGTAACATGAATATTAATTAAGGGGAGGGGTTCATTGGTGGGTGGTCTACAAATATTATATTAGGGAAGAGAAAGAACTCGTGGTGAGGATGAGCATGATGATTTGAAAGAAGTATTATGGTGTTATTATTAGGCCTAATGGGAAAACAAAAAGGAATGTCTTGGTAAAACTATCCAACCTCTCAACAGCCTGAGTAGGGATTGGTTGAACAGCAGGGGTAAACCTTTACAAGACCATTGACCCCCACTCTGACTCCCAGCCAACCCATAGTAAGTTTATAACAAAACAAAAAAAACATTATTGCATAATGCTAATTAAATCATAATTTAAATGTCAATGGTAGTTGTCCCCCTGCTTGACTGGGTTGTTTTTACAACAATAGATTGTATGACAAATAACATGTAGCCTATTGTAAGGAAAATATTGATCTACATTTAAATACATTTAAATTTTAGGGGTTCTAACTCAGGATTTCACAAACTTTTTTTAAGCCAATGACCCATCTGTTATACACAAACTGGTTTAAGACCCAAAATGTATCATTCATTGTAGTTTTTACAGTACTTATAGTCAATATTTTTCAGTTGTATCATCCTTCAGTTTTGTTTAGATCCTTCATCTGAAGACATCTGTAATGCCTACTGGAGGTCCGTCATATTGCACATCACAGCTGTAACTGGTCACTTTTGTTTTTTGTCAAAATGTTTCATTTAAACTGCTGTGTTGTGGCAACACTGTAAAAAATATTTTAGCAATTTAGTTATTTCAACTTATTTTTTTGTGTGTAGAGATAACTAGATTGTCCAGACAACGAGAAATTTTAAGTTTTCTTGTCCTCAACTTATCGAAATAAGTTAGTTAAACTAAAAAAAACCATGCAAAAGATAACACAAAATAATGAGTTAAGTTTTTTTTACAGTGAAATGAGGACTGAAACAATACAAAACATTTGCATTAAAAATTAATTTTATTAATGGAGTAATACAGTTAAGGTGGACAAAGATTAAATAAATTTGTTTGATTTAAAAATTAACAAGAAAACAACTATGAATGACTGTCTGAATACTTATACCATTGATGATGAAAAATACTTTTTTTATTATTATTATTGCAATAACAATAGGGGAATACAGAGTCATACAAAACACTTGAATCTATAAAAAGAATTAAGATTACAATTCTTGTATCAAAAATCAAGTATCCTTCTCAACAAATGAGATGTCTTAACAGCTATAAGATTGTTCTGTATTGAAGTCAGAGAGTCGTAAAAGATGAAAAAGACTTCATTTGTGTTACTTTGGCATTAGTGACAATCAATAACAAGACATTTTTACAATAACAGGATTTTTTTCACATTATGACCGATATTGTCTGGATTCATTTATTTTTATTTTTATTATTATTATTATTGTTTTGCTTTTTTAAACCAGTTATTTCAGGTAATTGGTACCAATCTGAGATTGCAATTGCTCGAAAATGTCTATCTTTGTACAGGGATGCCCCCTTGTGGTTCATAACTTCTCTGCATGTATTATCTTTTAATCTGGGCTACAGTAGATGGATAGAGTTCTAAAATAGACTCTAAACATAATGTCACATGACTTTATTTTGTGTTTCTATTCCAGCATTTAACTATTTAAATATAATGATTAACATAATACAAATAAAGGCAGTTTCCTATACTGTGTTATATTTGAACAAATCAACAACTAGCATGGTGATCAGTTATTGCATTGCTCTTACACATTTTGATCTTAGAAAACTCTCTTATTTACATTCTGTCATTGAAGCTGGCTCCTCTAGTCCTGTCAATCCAAAATCCTTGTGTCAGAAGTGGGATTTGAACCCACGACTCCACCCGGAGAACAGAATGCTCAACACTGGATCATAACTTGTTGAGTCTGACGCCTTAGACCGCTCGGCCATTCTGACACCACGGTGAAGCAGCGATAAACTCAAACTTGATGATAATTACTTCCTGGACTGCAAAATGTGCCATGCTAATTTCTCTTTTGATTCTAAATGCCTCAAGATCAACCAGTCTTTTTTTTTTTTTTTTTTACTTCCCAGATTTAGGATATTTGTTCTTATGTTATAACATCCTATCTGCAGTTTATAACCTGAATTCACCCAATGTTTACATCTTGAAACAGTGTGACGTTTAAGAACCATTCTCTTCATATTTTGTGGAGGTGGAGTCTTGAGACTTCTTACTGAGAAAAACAAAATCAAAAACCAAATGAAAATGGCTGAAGACAAACACACCATCAACATCAATAATGACTCCTAAGTATTAAGTACCATTTCTTCACATACTACTAATATGAATGGATTCTAAGTTGGGGGCTGAAATATTGTTACTTAGTGTGAGTATTCTGTTGTCTGTCTCTATGTTTGTGGGTTAGGTGAAAGCTAAAGTAGAATACCAGTGCAAACTATCACATATCAATCCTCTTAATTTGCTTATTGTGTTCTTACGTTGGTTTTTGCACGAGCATATCATGTACAGATAGTTGTTTTGTAAGTTCGTGCAGATTTGATGTTGTGACATGCAGGATCAGGTGAACATGCTCCTTCCCAACTTTGTTTTGGACCACCAGAAAATAGTGAAATCCCCTGTGCCGTTATCTTTAGTTTGTACTTTTAAGTCGCATTGGGAAAAAAACAAAGCTAAACCTAAGCCAACTGTCATCGCCAGATTAGCTTCTCATGTGTCATCTGAGCAACTCTTCCAGTTAATCCAGATTTTCCACGTTTGGAGAATGTTCACAGTGACATTTGGTTCCTCTTCACTTTGATTTCACTTTGACTGACAGTAAAGATAAAAACATGCCTTTAACTTCTGTATAGGCGTAATAAACCGGAACCAATTTTAGTATGTTTTTTAGAGTACATTAGCTTGTTACAGTGCATCAAATTTTAAAGTTTCATACAACTCCCATCCCAACACACATCTCTCTCTCAGTGTGTTTAAAGATGCCTAGACGTGATGATGTGACACGCTTTATGCAGCAGCTATTTGACCAGCGTGTGGTGTCTAAATTCATGACGATCAAGCCAAAGGTCCTGGGGGTAAAAGACTTTCCTTTTTTTTCTTTCTGCTTCATGCTAATTTTGATATGGGGGAAATGAGGAAACAGAAGCTATCTTGTTTTATATCTTCCAGGTTTTGGAAATATCAATAGGTATAGGGATGATTGTCTTAACAATCTGGACAGGATTTTTGTATCTCCTCTGGTCATGTCTAATTGTAAGTATTTTATTTCAACACCAGGACAACATTGTGCAATGAACAAATACTCAATAATGTTCATTTTCTTCACTGTAGTCAGTTTTAACTGGATCTGTGACAGTATCAGCCGCATGCAAATGTAACGCATTTAGGGTTAGTCTGAATATCTAATATAAAATATTTTACATTTCACTGTGCCTATTTAAAGTATAGCACTAGAGTACAATGCATTATGTTTGAAACATTTTTGATCAATCTAAACGGTCTTTCTCCCATTTCAGGTCAGAATCTCACAATTTCTAAACTGTTTCAATGCCATCGCATCTGGTATCTCCATCCCATTTCACTTACTTGACAGTGATGTAAGTGTCTGTATTAGACGTCTTGCTTCGAATCTCACAAAAGTAAAATATATCTGCCAAACCTACATCAAAAGTGCTCATATTAGTGTGATCAACTATAAAAGTGGTTTCAACTTTAACCTAATTAATAAGCTCTACAATAAGTCATGATGTGCCATTTCTGACCATTTCTTCAAGACAAATTTCTATTTATGACTAATAAACATGTGTTTATAATCATATTGTCTATACTCACTCAGGGTGTGACTCTTATTCTCTTGGTTGTCTGTGATGTTCTGGTCTTCATCATCTCTGTTATCGTTACCTCATCTTCTTGTGATTGCTGCAGGATGAAGGTAAAACTCTTTAAGATGAAGTTCAAAAGTTATTTTACAAATGTAACAATTGAAAACAAAATTAAATTCTGACACTGTTTACTCGCCCTCATGCCGTTCCATACCCATATTATAGTAGGCGTACTTTTTCTTCTATGGAACACAAAAGGTGAAATTATACAGAACATCCTTCAATATAATGAAGATTAATGAGGACTGGGAATTTCATTCTGCAAAATAAAATTAAAAAAAGCATCAAAAAATTAAAACATATGTCCATGCCAGCTATATTTATTCTAAGACTTATAATAATGATAGCTTTGTGTGAAGAATGAAACTTTTTACTGAAAACCAGCCTTAGCTCTTCTTTTAAACAAATCACAAAATTAGCCTGACAGAAAGAACATTTGTTTAATGACGGTTCTATGCTCTAAGCAACTGAATCATCCAACAATGATATTGTTGGATTTACATATTAGTATTATATATAGTATTATGTGTATTTAAAGGGATAGTTCACTTTGAAATTAATTTTTGATATGTTTTAGCTTACCTCAAGGGCATCCAAGATGTAGGTGTCTTTGTTTCCGCAGTAGTTTCAATTTTGATATTTTTAGGTCAAACCGTTCTTGTCTGTCAGTCATATAATGCAGGTCTATGGTCACCACCTCACAGAGCATGCACAGAGAAGTCCAAATTAAACATGATTTAATGACTCGTAAATGTAAGTACACATTGATGGCCTAAGACACGAAACGAGCGGTTTGTGTGAGAAAACAAACAGTATTTATATCGTTTTTACCTCTTGTAACGCACAGACCGAAGCGCCCGCGCCCTCAGATCACTTGGACGTGGTTGTGGTTACAAGAGGTAAAAACGATATAAATACTGTTCGTTTTCTCACACAAACCGCTCGTTTAGTGTCTTAGGCCATCAATGTGTACTTACATTTATGACCATAGACCTGCATTATATGACTGACAGACAAGAACGGTTTGACCTAAAAATATCAAAATTGAAAATACTGCGGAAACAAAGACACCTACATCTTGGATGCCCTTGAGGTAAGCTAAAACATATCAAAAATGTATTTCAAAGTGAACTATCCCTTTAACTGCTTTGACAGAAACAAGTGACTTCGTTTTCATATCCACTCTGATTGGTTAATTAATTCATTAGACATTAGGTTAACAGCTGCCACTAGGTGTCACCGCATCCCATTTAGACGCAATAATGATGTTCTTTCTGTTGTTTCTCTCAGTTAAGACACGTTGCAGTCAGTTACATAAACAGAGATGTGCCTTACATGATTGACAACAATATTGTGCTTCGGGGCCAACAAGACCCTTTTGCACCTCCAACAAACTACGTTCCAAGTCCTTCAGCATCTCCAGCATACTACTCTGCACCTCCACCAAATTATGATACAGTCCCATCTGCACCTCCACTAAATTACGATCCAGGTCTTTTTGAACCTCCACCAAGCTACAATCAAGTCCTTCTGCACCTCCAGTGAACTATAATCAAGGTCCTTTCGACGTTCATTCAAACTAATAGGAAATCAATGGGTAATTTCTAGTCTGTTGATGAAATCAGTTGAATGGAGCTCCTTATTCACTTTCCTGGATATAATTTACAAATTCAACCACAAGTCTCATGATAACACGTTTAAAGGCCCACTGGAGTGCCTTGAAACGCGCAGCATTATGACGTAATTTCCACTGAAACAGGAAGACAGGGCGACACATATCGAACAGCTCCTCCCCTTTTTAAAAATAGTCAATAGCGTTTCGTTTAAATCACAGCTCGGCCAGAGCCGTTGAGCTTGGTAAAACCGCAGTTTCCTCCTAAATCGTTTCTCCTCATAATCTCCACCATATCACTTTAAAATACAGCATTCTGTGTAGAATTCAAATGGGTGCGATACATTTTGTACTCTGCGCCAAATCACACAAAAGATCCGCTCTGCTATTGTGTCTCTGGACCGGTGCAGACTGTGTGTTTGAAAAAACAATTCGGTTGTAATCAACAGTATGTCATAGACAATAACATTAGAGATTATAGAACTTGTACTTGTAGAGATTCTATTGTATACACTGCATTGTTGCCAAATTTAGTTCACACATCACTGCTGTCCTGTTGGATAGCAAAATATCTTTTTGCAAAATTGTTATGATTTTTATTTATGAAAAATATTCAATAGATTCACTGTAATTCACTGTATTGATGCCAAATTCAGTTTACACATCACTGCTGTCCTGTTGCTTATACTACAACACTTATTTTGGAAAAATATATTTTTGCATAATTTATATGATTTTTGTTTATGAAAAATATTCAATAGCTTCACTGTAATTCACTGTGTTGATGCCAAATTAAATTCACACATCATTGCTGTCCTGTTGCTTATACTACAACACTTATTTTGAAAAAACATCTTTTTGTATAATGTTTATGATTTGTATTATGAAATAAAAATCAATAACTTCATTGTAATACACTGCATTGTTGCCAAATTTAGATCACACATCACTGCTTTCCTGATGGTTATACTACAACACTTATTTTGAAAAAATATATTTGTGCATAATTTTTTTTTTTTTTTATGAAAAATATTCAATAGCTTCACTGTAATTCACTGTATTGATGCCAAATTCAGTTCACACACCACTGCTGTCCTGTTAGTTATACTACAACACATAGTTTGGATAAATGTATTTTTGTGTAAATTGTATAACCATCAGGACAGCAGTGATGTGTGAACTGAATTTGGCAACAATGCTGTGCATTACAGTGAAGTTATTGAATATTTTTCATAAATAAAAATATGCATAAGTTTTATATCACTCAAGGATTAAACTCATGAAATATGCCAAATATGAACATACTACAAAATAGTCTGTATGTCCCTGTACATTATGTACCATGTCCCAGTGTTATGAACAAACATAGCAAACATTGCTATCACACAGGTCTCATGCTGACATGTGAGTTACACAGTTAAAACACAGTTAATTTGTGATACCCCATAGGCTTACTTTGTATGTATACTGTAAACGTTTTTCATTGCTTTTGCTAGAAATTATTTTCTGTTGTATACAAAGGTTCTATGTATATTTTCTGGATGAATATCTAAACAGATGATCTTTGTCTCTGACAGGGTCTGGAAATATTGATAAGTTTAGTGGGTATCATCTTATCATTGTGGGGCAGCTTGCTTTTTTCTTTTCTTGTGCTTTGTAAGTGTTTCTTTCCTTTTCTCATAAGGAAAACATTGTGCTGAAATACCAGAAACCTGAAATACTCTTTTTTCATTCACATAGTCACTTTTCACTGGAGTTGTAATGGTCTCAGCTGAACTCAAACAAATCATGTATATCTGGTCATTCATCTTAGTCAAATAATGTTTTTGTCTATTCGAATGACTATATGATAATAGAATAAAATACACTACACTGTTTAAAACCTTTTTGTAAGGAGCAACTATTTTCAAAGCAGATTTTTCTCAGATCAGGTCAGAACCTCACAAATAATGAGCTGTCTGTGTGCCAGAATGACCTCTATTTCCATCTGTATTCATTCTGCTGAACGCAAGTTCAGTGCTATACAGATTTCAATCTTTAAAACTTGTCAAATGTACATTCATGTTCTTAAACGATGGTTGTACACCAAAGTGCTAACATCAGTGTGGTCAACTTACAGTTGGTTTAACACTAAACTGTCCTTCAAAAATGTCAACCATGCGCATTTTCTGACCATTTCTTCAGCCTCTTTGGACCACCATGGTCCTTGTGGTCTGTGATACTCTGATCTGTATCCAATTGTCACTTCGACCGCCTGCGATAAATGCAAAGATTGGCTCACACTCGCAGGCAAGACAACGTTTGGCGTTCTGACAGGAACAGACCTATAGCGTGATTGTCCAGAATACTGTGATTGTTGAACAGTTTTCAGTTCAGTCCGACATGCACTGCCATCAGAACACGGTCAAGCCAGACTGAAATATTCTGATGAGCCTTAAGAAATGATGGTTTGTGTAAACTAAAACCCTCATCAAATTATGTTTGTCATTAGAAAAAGATCTTTAAGCTCAAATGAAGATCTAAAATAGGAAATTCTGTGTTACTGCAATATGAACAGTAGCCACAGGCCTCTATATCTTCTGTCCCAGACATGAGGACTGAAGGACAGAAGATGATTAAATTAAAATAATTACTTTTTTTGTATTGAATTGTCAGATTGTTTTTCCTCCTCAAAGTAAATTTTCATGAACTGTCATTTGCAATACTGCTAAATCTAGTTTATTACAGCAAACGTACTTACTTGTTCAATCCACCTGAAGCAAGCTGACATTAAGTGTTCAAGGGCACAATAGTGTTATTTCGTGAATCAGCTTTTGGTGGGTTTGAACCTACTGTACAGTCATGCCGTTGTAACCACTGGACTAACAGCACATTTTGACAAATGCTTTTTATCCAGAGCTTTTACACTATTATATCTGTATCCCTGGTTTTATGTGTTTTCACTAAGGCTCAGTGATGTTAGAGCAACTCTGCAGCCTGGCTCCTCGACCTGCAAATGTACTATAGGCTAAACTGTATTTCTATAAAACCATATTCTCAGCGAACCAGTCTGGGAGAATGAACAAAGTTAAAATTCGCTGCCAGTTCCATCCAAATTAAAAATTGTTTTAGGCTACTTTTTTCATCTTATCATAAATCACTGATGATGACAATATTTATAATAAACTCAACACAATCACATTTTGCTAGGATCTTAGATTTGGTTCACAATCTTTGAGCTCTAAATCTAATAACTGTTACGTTTAAAAGCAAAATATTCCATAAAATAAGAATGTGCAGGCGTGTGCAGTATCTATATACTCCAGCAGAGGGAGTATTAATTAAACAAGAACGCATCACTTTGTGTATGAACGTTTAAACGGCCTTGTTTGTGCTGAAGTGTTTTTTAACTTGTAAAGGACTTGTAAACCCAGTGTCGGTACACGATCCGTTCCATCTGCACGATCCGTTCTACGCATGCGCGTAATTACGTAGTAGAAGACGTCACGGTTTTCCTACACTATCGGTACCACGCATGCGTGGATGAAACACTTTACGGCCAGGCGGCACAACTTGCGGCATACCGGTATTTGTGTAACATAGACATTCAATGTTTGTGTAACTTTAGTTGTATTTTGTTTAACATTTCACAGCGGGTCTATTTTGATGTTTTTAAATGTAGCTTACGCTGCATTACGATGTGTTTACGTGGTTGCCAATCCAAAATAATAAAGGAGTTGTGACTGTGAGTTATGAACATACATGATCAGTTTCCCCCACTCTCCTTTGCGATTCATTGCTGTATGGTATTAGGCTTAACTGACTTAACTTGCCGTGTTTTGGTCTGAGGTCAGTATTGTCAGATGGTTTGGTGTCATTTTTTTTGATTAAAATTTAATTATTAAATTAAATAAATTATTAATTTATAATCGGCTATTAGTTACCTTTTAAGTTGAGTAATTTTGTATTAGTATGGGTCTATATAGGCTAATATATATCTATATAATCTAAATGCGGAAAATAATCTCTTTAATGTTGTTTACAAAGACAATAAAGGAACATAATATGCATTTCTGCCTAGACTATCTGCACTTACGTGAAAAAAGAACTACAAACAAGTCTGGGGAAACGTTATAGAGTATTTCAAACTGACAATGGAAATGACTTGAAAGAAGCATGTGTACACACAGAAGTGACATGGGACCAGTGGTGGACAGTAGTAAAGTACACTTTTTGAGTATCTTTATTTATCTTTATAAAAACACACACACACACACACACACACACACACACACACACACACACACACACACACACACACACACACACACACACACACACACACACACACACACACACACACACACACACACACACACACACACACACACACACACACACACACACACACACACACACACACACACACACACACACACACACACACACACACACACACACACACACACACACACACACTTTAACAGCTCTCAGTCCACTTCAGACGAACACTCTTTCCGCTGTAACAGCTCAGTCACTTCAGACGAACACTCTTTCCGCTGTAACAGCTCAGTCACTTCAGACGAACACTCTTTCCGCTGTAACAGCTCAGTCACTTCAGACGAACACTCTTTCCGCTGTAACAGCTCTCAGTCCACTTCAGACGAACACTCTTTCCGCTGTAACAGCTCAGTCACTTCAGACGAACACTCTTTCCGCTGTAACAGCTCTCAGTCCACTTCAGACGAACACTCTTTCCGCTGTAACAGCTCTCAGTCCACTTCAGACGAACACTCTTTCCGCTGTAACAGCTCTCAGTCCACTTCAGACGAACACTCTTTCCGCTGTAACAGCTCTCAGTCACTACAGACGAACACTCTTTCCGCTGTAACAGCTCTCAGTCCACTTCAGACGAACACTCTTTCCGCTGTAACAGCTCTCAGTCACTTCAGACGAACACTCTTTCCGCTGTAACAGCTCAGTCACTTCAGACGAACACTCTTTCCGCTGTAACAGCTCAGTCACTTCAGACGAACACTCTTTCCGCTGTAACAGCTCAGTCACTTCAGACGAACACTCTTTCCGCTGTAACAGCTCAGTCACTTCAGACGAACACT